TCGCCCCTTTTGGAAGGGGGGTGCCCTCAGGAACACGTGTGACAAAAAAAAAAAAAAAAAAAACTAATCCCTGGTGACTGTTGTGATCCTCAGCAGCCACCGTATGGGAGGTATGAGTTATTACAAATGTTAAAGCTGCCAAGATGAAGGGCTATGAAACGTATAGCTCCAGTTAATTGTTCTTAAAGGGGCGGTATTATGTATTTTTTTAGGCACAGTGGCATGTTAGCATCCATGTTACCTTCACTTCTTAAAAGTGTTGCATATGCAAAACATGACTTAAAATTAATTTGACTTCTTAACTTTGCTCCTTGAAATTGGGCCTCTGTCTCTTTAAGAAGCTTCTGTTCTTTTCCGACCCTCTGCTTTCAGCATGTAATTAGAGCAATGTTTCTCCTAAAGTATCAGGCGTGTTTGCACTGAGAAGTAGTTCCTATTATGAGCTCAGTGGCTCCACCAGGTGTTTGCTAATTGCTGCTGCCGCTAGTCTGGTGGGGCTGAGTGGAAGAGGTTATCAAAAAGTCAATTTTACGTGATACTGCCCTTTTAGTAAAAATTGTTTTTGTTGAATTTAGCAATAAGTGGTAAAAATCTTTGACCATACCACTTAACTATTGGTGAGATACAATTTCAATGTGTAGAAACTCCTATTCATTTTTTTTTACTTAAAAAGACATTATTTTATGTTTTTTAAAAGTCATTTTTAGGGAAAGCAGCCAAACACACTTTTTTTTTTTTAAATTGAAGCGTTTCAAGTTGTTTTAAAGAATATTTTTAAAAAAAATGTTTCAGCATGAATTGACTTTATACAGACAATATTTATTCACCTCTGGAAAGTTCTTCAACAGCTGAACATCAAAAATCACTTTGCTGATGAAACAAAACAAATCAATAAGTCTGCACTCTATCTGAGCGACAGCTCCCGTCAGATGTCTACTTGTATTTCTTTTGGCTGAAATAACTTCAGTAAAAAGAGTTTTGCACCGTCAAGTTACAATAAGTTTTGTTTTTTTTTTGGAAGAAAAATAAATTAAATGAATAAATAAAACTTTGTTGACAGACTGGGACCCAGTGGGGTTGAGACTCTTGCTTTTCCCAACTGCAGCTGAAGACGGAGGTGGATCGAAATGAGGTGAGAGAGAAAGAGAGATAGAGAGAGAAAGAGAAAGAGAGCGCTCGTTATCTGGAATCAGCAAAGCAGCAGGTGAAGCCACATGGACGGAAAACATGAAAAAGAAAAACGCCTCACTCCTCCAAGGTATTAAAAAAAAAAAAAGATCAACCTTTCCGGTTCCTGAGCGAGAATTTCTCTTTGAAGCGACACTAATCAGACAGCTGACACAAACAGAGAAGAAGTGTCTTTCCTGTAATCAGGAAAATTTTAATGCAAATTGTTTCTGAGATAAAAAAAAAAAAAGACGACAACACATTTAAGAATCATTCCAATTGTTTTATTGCTCTCATTTAAAACACTACTTCATAGAAAAACACTGACACTTTAATTCCTTCGGAGTAGCCTGACAGTTTAGCACATACGATGCGTGATATAAAATTAGTTTCAGTGTCACAGGACGATAAATATAACGGTTATGGAAGCAGAACGAGAGAGGCCGGCGTTTCAAGATGTACAGAGTACGGAAACAAAGAGGAAGACCGGAGGGCTGGTTTATTGGAGGAAGGAAAAAATGCAACGTTAACAGTCATTAGATTCACATTTATATATATATATATATATTAAAAAAAAAACATACTGTGAGAGATGAATCAGAGCCGTTTAGCAAGAGAAATGAGGGACAAAAAAGAGTGTGCATGAGAATATTGTAATGTTGGAAGTAATAAATATGTTTACACAGCTCAAATGATTTGGATGCATTAACACACACACACACATTTTAATGTGATATTTATGCAAGATTGATATTTTAATCAATCTTGCATAAATCAGTTTGGTACCGGTGATGAGCTTGATTGAGCAGGAACATTGGACAGGTGTTTGCTAAATGAAGATCGGAATACAGTGCTGCGACAAGCATTTGTTCAAAATTAGGTTTTTCTTTTGTTTTGGCTTTTCAGTCGCATGTTTCAGGTCATCAATCTAGTTTTAAGAGGAACCAACCCCATGTGAAAAGGGTGAATTAGCTGCGATTTGGGTGCATTTTTAATACTCCAGTTTGTTAAAAATTCAGCAAATAAGTGAGGGGAAAAAAACAGAACAAGTCCTAAATCATCGCAGGCCTCAATTAAGCCTCAGGGTTCTTGACTTAAAAACAAGAGATTGGATCAAAACAGCCACCATGGGAGAATTTACTGGGAAAAAACAACCCAAAAAAACCCAAAAAAGGGCAGTATCACATTTTTTCCAAAAGTTATATTTTGTTCATCCCTAAGGCTTTTAGGAAAATATTCTGTGACTGAAAGAAAGAAAAGGGGAACTTAGAAGATATTTCTGCTGTTAAGAGCATTTAAAAAAAAAAAGAAAAGAAAGGAAAATGCAACTTCAAGATCTGAACAGCGTTTAGTAATTCACAAAACCAGAAATTCTGCTCATCAGTTTGTGACCGTCAGGTCAAATAAAGTTGGGTTATGCAGCAGGACAGCGAACATCTGAAGCACTCACCCAGTGGAAGTCCAGACTTTGCATTAAGACGTCAAGGAATTTCAATGGGATTGATTATTTCCACATAATGTTGGCCTGATTTGTACAGGTTTTTCTCCAATAAATGAAGAAAGAAAAAAAAAAGAGAAGATTGCTGGTTTTGCTCACTGACATTTTCTTTGTGTATTTCATTAGATGGTCTTTCACATTTTTATGTGGGCAAAAAGCAAAAATGTAGAAAAAAAGAAAATCTGTAAGTAGGCAAACACATTTTTGCAGCACTGTATGCATCTTTTCTGACTTTTTACACCAAAAGACAATGAAGCAATAACCGGTCTGAATTTAGATTTGCATTATTAAAGACTACAACCTAAAAAGTATTTAAAGATTAAATATTAATCAAATCATCAGCCTCTGTATAAGATCACATTGTAAAATAAAAGCTACCTAATAAAAGAATCGATTGTCTCGCGCGCCAGCAGCACACTGAAGTCATGAGATGAGCTGAATCCTTTTTTTCTCCTCGACTTCAGTGTTTGAAATATCATCAAAAAAACGAGTTGCCTTATATTAATATTAATGCCATGTTCAGTTGTTCAAATGCAAACATCAAAGTACTATGTTGTTGTTTTTTGTTTTAAATCAGGTGGATTTACCCTTTCACATATCTGCTATTTCACTTTTTACAATGATAAAAAAAACAAAACAATAATAACAGTAATAATATGTCGCAAAATGAATCTGACATTTATACAGTGCCAAATTGAGGGGATACGGAATAAATCAGATTAGTGTTTGATCAGAAATCATTGCACAATAGACGCATTTCAATCATTAAAAAAACAAAAAACCAAACATGTCTGGCACCTAAAGAGAAGAAGAGGTAGAGCTACGTGAGGGTTTCAAACATCCTGGACTCTGTAAACAGGGAAACGACAGCTGAGTGGACGCAGACCACCGAGAAGACAAAGTGAAAAAAAAACTCTTTCCATCTCTTTCATAAAATCCAACCAGCAAGCTATTTTACTGTGAGTTTAAATACAACAATAAATATACAGAAAAAGGAAAATGAGGCTGGGGAAAAAAAATGAAGATGAAACCTGCGTTGATACTGAGACGAAGCTGCTATTTTTTTGGTTTGTTTTTGAATTTGTTGGAACAAATCCGTTAAAATGTGTACAAGTCGGCCTGTGGCTTTTGCATAGATGACTTTGTGTAGGCCGTTTTGTTCGCAACATGTAAAAGGAAGACGTGGATCCCAGTGACGTTCAGGTGAAGATTTCTTTCTAAGAAAAGAAACTTGCATGCAAGTGTTTCATAATAATAACAATAAAAAAAATTTAAAGCTTTGGGTATTGGTATGTACAGAGTAATTGACTTTAGCAAATCATATAATTGCTATTGCTTCCAGGACCTCTGTTGATGTCTACAGACGTTATGTTTAATAAATTAATTAATAACACATACTTTCAAAAGTGAAGTCAGGTGATGTTCTGCTTGTTTTTCAGCAGACGACGCTGAAAACTCAGTACCACCAAAAGTGTTAAGATGAAATACTTCCAGCTATTTGGATTGAAATCCTCGTGTGAATTGTCGTAGAAATAACCGCTACGGATCGGCACTGTGGTAATAAAATAAAAGGTCAAATAAAATAAGAGGACGTTTGCAGTGTTGTGCTGTTTGTGTACAGATTTCTTTCACAGTTCAGTTTCAGAGCTCTTCCTGCCGAGGAAGCCGTTATCCTCCCGGTCGATCCGAATCCGAGGTGAGCCGTGTGAACCGCAGCCGAAACTGAGAGAAAGACACAAAAATAAAGTGACATGAAGCGTCTCGCCGCCTTCATGTCGCCTCAGATTTTGTCGCATTTTGCGACCATAAACCTCAATGTGTTTTATTTCATCTCAAATAAAACATATTTATCTACATAAATCTCTAGTTAGCTGCTAGATTCAGCCCTGATTACTCTGCCACGTCTCAATAAACTCTTGTGCAATTTTTGAGTCCAGTCAAAACTGAGCTGAATTGGGAGTCTGTAGTGATACTTTTGCAAACTTTTGTTTAGGGTTGAAACGACTAATTAGATTAATCGTGATTAATCAGTTGTTGAAATAATCGTCAACTTAGTCAGTAATAGATTAATCGTTAACTGGAGTATACACATACACACACACTAAGAGTAGAAATCAAGCTAAAATTGTAGGAAAAAAAATCTACACGTTTTGCACTTAAGATAAAAAAAATGTAAATACATTCTACCCAGAACCCATCTAGTGATATAGTTTTAACTTCAAAAGTTTCAAATTCTGTAAATAAAAAAAAAAAAGTATATTTTAAAATCCAATTATTAATCAGTCAGTCAAAAAAAAAAAAAAAATCAACAGATCAGCCCAACACTGTAGCCTTTTCAAGCACAAATGTCAGCTTTTCACATGTAGATGTTAGAAATACATTAGTGTTAACTGTAGACACATTTTTCGTAATAAAAATATTTTCTTATTTTAAAAACGAAATTGAATTTTAATGTATTTTTAATATTGCATGAAAACACATCTTAAATAAAAAATCTGTAGAATCTACCATTTTACTTATTCGATTAATCGATTAATCGTCAGAATAAATGTTAGGTAGATTAATCGATAACTAAAGGAAACGCTGGTTATGACCCTACCTTTGTTAACTTAGAGGTTCTAATTACAAGTGAATCTTTTTATAATTGTAAAAATATTATAGGACAGCTGTGCAAAAGGAGGATGGTACTCACTTACAAGGTGGGGGAGCCAAAGTAGTGTTCAGCACGGTGAATGGGGGTTAAGGAAAGTTTGCGGTGAATCTCCTGAGGGGGGGGAAACAGCAAAAATGTTTTGTCAAAATCCTAAATTTCAAGTTAGGCTGCAGAAGCAAAAACTGGAGAAGGAAAAAGAAAGGAAGCAAGCAGTGCAAAGCTTTATTTTTATTATTGTCTTAGGGTTCCAACATGAACCTATCCGCTAACGGATTGAGCTGGGCAGGAAGCCAGAGTCAGAGCTAAAGGGTGAGCGCGACAGGAGAAGAAGCTTCAAGAAGCAAAGTCTGATCAGCTCTCTTAGCGGGAGCGAAGCAAACCCTGGCCAGTAGTACTCACTATCCAAAGATTTATCCCCCAACATGGGCTCCTGTTCCATCATCTCCATAGAGATTTTTATAGAGGGAATATTTTCATGGAAGGGGTAGTCGGACTGTGGGAGGACGGAGGGACAACATTAACCACTGGAGAGCTACTTTCTGACACGTCACATCAACAGTGGAGTCGAGAAAAAGTGCCATTTGTCTCCCATTTGTCACGCCGACGGCTACTTACGTAGTCAATTTCACTGTCGATGCTTCCCTTCTTCTTGTTTTTCTTCTTCTTCTCGTCCTCCTTCTTTTTCTTGTCCTTCTCCGGGATCACGTCGTCCAGGTAGCTGAGGTCGTGCTGGGAGAACACGTAGTCCATGGCCTTTCGTACGGCAACCAACGCCAAAATCTGTGAACGGAAGCGCAGGGAAATCATTCTCAACAGAAGGTTGGAGAATTTATCAATCCGTAGTAATACGTATCGCGATAAACGCATTGTCAGTATTGGTCGATATATACATCTTATGGAATATTCAATGTATAGGATATTTGCTGAAGTCCTATTCAGAACTGCGCAGCATTTCTGAAGTTGTAGGCAGAGGAAAGGCTTTAGCGGCTTAACTTCTCATGATTAGATTGGTGGCATCAACTAACTCACTCTTTGGTTACCTAGCAACAACCTGCAGAGTAATGTGCAAGGCAACAATTTCGGTTTTCGCCACCATGCCTCGTAACGGCTTAAAATGTACAATGGCATGGAAAACCGTGGCTAAAACAGGAAAGGTCACGCTACCAGTTTGGTAGTATTTCAGATATTTAAAACAAAAAATAATAAACAATCAATGATATTGACATTTAATCGATGCCAGCGGACGTTTTTCTCGTGGTACGTTTTTTCAGACACACGGTCTGGCCCTGTCCTTTGCGCTTCAGTTTTCACTCGGCTACACGTCAGGCGATCCTCACCATGACGGGGAAAATGATGGCGGCCACGGTGGACTTGAGGATCCAGAGCAGAGCCAAGCACAGGACCTGGATGAAGGTGAAGAGGTGGATGCGTCTCTGGGGGACGTGGCGCAGGTAGATGAGGTCCGGCTGGTGCTTGGCTGGCATGAGGAGCAGCTGCAGACGGTCCATGAACTGTCGGGATTTTCAGACAATAAGATGAAGAAAAGTGAAATGAAAAGAAATCAGTACTTCTGTTGTGGGGTTTTTTCCACAAAAGCGTTCAGAGAAAGGCTGGCGCCTGAGAACTGGTTCTTAACTGGTTTTACTGGAAGTAAAAAGCAACAGAGAACAAGCCTGTCGTTTTACAAAAGGAGGGCCAGCCCGTCACGAATCTCTGTTCAGCTGTTTGGTTTCAATTCTGGCAGGAATACCCAACTTTTGATCAGTGATTTAAACACTGATGGACCAGAATCTACACAAGAACAGGTGATACTGAAGGTACAACAGTATTTATATGCCAAGAATATACAATTAAGGTTTATAGTTACAGTTACTCATTCAATAGTTTGGCTCTCTTCAGGTTATGTACATTTGTTGCTATGACAATACCTAGTGCCTACCAATACTAATATTAACTCCTCTTTGCTGTTGCAACTACACTGAATGTAAATGGAAACCTTTTTGGAGGGCGGGGAAATGTATGAGACAGCCCAAAACAGAGTATTTGCATAACTGTGAAAAGAAAATGATTTGAGTTTTTGTAAATACTAACAATATTCTGAAAAGTGTGGATTTGTGCATTTGTGTTCAGCCCATCCTGGCACACAAATTTATTTTGTATTTAATTAAATGCACAGTTTCCTCCTTAGACAATTCATCTTTTTGTAACAAAAAGAAATGTTCACAATTATCCACTTCCTGATGGTTTGCTGCACAAAACGAGCAACTGTGAAGTTTATTATTGCGGCATCAAATGTGAGACGCACAGAGGGCTATGAAAAAGGCACTGTAAAGTATAAGCTAAGTACCAATGCTAGTTAGAGTGGAGCAACTCACCTGGACACCATTGAGAGACGCCACGCCCATATAGAGGAACACACCATAGAGAACAGGCATCGGGATGAACTGCAGACAACAAAGCAAAAACGATATCCGTTTTATACATGCAGATGAATGTAGTATCAGCAGCTAAAGTTAAATTATAAATAAGAAAATAGAATAGTTTTGTGTGTTAAAGCTCCAGCTAGTTTAAAGTAGCTCACAGATAACAGATTAGACAACAGTTTGAGGGAAAACTACTTTTCCACGCCTGGAAAATAAATGGCCACCAGGGGGCGCAGCAGCTCCAACAACAGCCTCCGCTCAGGTTCTTTCCCAGCTTAATGAGGGAATGGAAACTCTACACTCTTCTCCAACTGGAGCTTAAAGTCCTGATGAATTTCACATCGAATTAGTTCAGGTACGGGGGCTTCTAATCGGATGAGCGGAAGATTTTAAATGATTTTTAAAAAATAAAGACAAGTGACGAGAGCTCGTCCAAAAGGGACGGACTGTAATCCGCGTTTCCATGGAGGAATTAGGAGCTGGACGGAATACCTTCAGGATAGGAGCCATGAAGACGGAGAGTCCTGTCAGGAGGAACACAAAGATGCCAGTGACTCTTTGTTCCCTGGATGGAGGGGGGGGAAGAAATAGGAAAATCAGCGTCATTTGTAAAGCCTGAAAGTTTTCACATGCAAGGACTCTGACTTCTGAAGCTTTATGATGGGTTCTAAGCACATAAAAGGAGGTAAAAGTTAATTAAAAACGATGTTATGGAAATTTCTGTCGTCAGCTATAGAGATCGACGACGACGTCATGGAAACTGATCAGAACTTCTCACCAATACTTGAAAACACGTGAAAAAAAAGGGCCGTAAATATGATAGAAGAAATATATAAAAATGAAGCAACCACTCACCTGACGCCCAGGAACTTGGGCTGCTCTCCAGGGGCGGAGGTCTGGGTCTCCATTTTCAGAGAGTCGATGTGGGCGATGGAGATGACGGTAGCAGCTACATACCATGGCAACCCCATGAAGGAGCAGAGAATCATCAGGATGGCCACCCAGAACAGGTCCAGGTGATAACCGGCCCCTTTCTGAGCACGAACAGAGAAGACAACGGGTTTGATAGGGTTGTGATGGTTGCATCTACTGGAGTAGATGCAAGTTTTTACTATGATGTATTTTTTAATTTTACTTGAATAATGAAGGATCGCTACTGTTACTACAGAGATTTCTGGATACTCGGCCCACTACGAGGGACTTCGTTGAATTCAAAACAAGCTTATTTTAACCAAAGATTCACACACCTGCATTGTGTGTTTTATATTGAAAAAAAAATTTTTTGGGGGGAAAAAAATTGTTCTTTTGATGGACTTGGTTGTTTTGTAGTTATGTTATTTGTAGGAATTTTCATTTTGGTCTTTAAAATACCAACATTTCCACATAACTTTAGGTTTTGGTTTATCTAATGATGTCATTTGTTTTAAATATTAAGTGATCGAAGTTTTGATCAGTTACTCGGTACTCAAGTTGCCTTTTAACCAGACTTTTTTTTTTTTTTTTTTTAAATCCGAGGACTACTTTTTACTTTTACTTGAGTAAAAATGTGAAACGCCTGGCACTACTGACTAAATGAGTTGGCCTTTCACATAACTTAAGGAAAAAGCTTAAACAGCTGTGAATATTTTTGTGTTGTATTGTATATACTGTTAAGAAAATACATTTAAAATATGCTAGTTTTAAAACTTAACAACATGTCTTGATTGACATAGCCTAAATATAGTTTTTGGACTAATGTTTATGTTACCTGTAGCTATAGCAGATTGCCTGCTGAATCTTTTGATCTGCCCTTTTGTCTGTGTGGGAAAGAATCAGGAGAAGGTCCAGCTTTCACACTGATCTGCGATGAGCCATAAAACAACATGAGTTCAGGCCAATGGAGGAGAAGCTCCACTTCCACTTTGTTTAGATAAAGGGACAACTGATGTTCGATCTTGAAAACAAATTGTAGGGAGTTTCTAACTTTTAAGAGGGTCCGAGACGGCTCCTGGTTGGATGAGCAAAGATACGCCTTATTTGAATAAATTAAAGAGAAGAATACGTCTTTACCATAAAAGTTTGTGCACGTGAGGAACAAACCAGATTTGCTTTTGCAACTCTCCAAAGACGTCTTTGAAGTGTCTGTGTTGTTGATGTCATGTTACACTTTTAAATGTAAGAATAAACTCTGAAAATGTATGACGTGGAGCGTTGACTGTCATCTCTGTGTGGCTTTTGTTTCCACGAATGGAATCATTGAATCAGGGAGCACAAGAGACTATAATGAGCCAGAACTTAATGATTTTATTCTCTACACTACCCACCTTTGTGAATGAATGAAAACTAGCTTAAATTTAAAAAAAGAGTCATTTCTCCCCCATGTACTTAAACGCCTCATTTATTACTGAGCTCTTTGTCTTCACCATCTTTTTCTCAATGTAATTTAAAAGTGGTTATCATATACAGCTCCAGAATATTTCTTAAGTTGGTGGTTCAAAAATGAACCTTTTGTCACTGGAGTACTTTACAAGGTCAAAATGTTCAATTTTCCTTAAAAACAAAATGTGATTACTGATGTACGACAGACATAAAGATCTTCTTCGTACATTTAACAATGTTCAGGTGAACTGCCTACCTTTAGCTTGTGTTCTTTCCTGTTCACAATCACTGCAGTGATCTGCTGATCCATGAAGATCAGAATCGTGACCAAGAGGGCAGGAAGTGCAGCTGCCAGGTACACCCACCAGGGGTTTCCTCCAAAAGGAGGAATAAACCAGCCCCGTGCTGGACTTGTGGGCTGAATAAAGAAAAATAAAGGGGGAAAAAAGCATTAGTTGTAATGGTCAATACTTCTGCTGGACAATCCACATGCAAGAACATGGCTAACATCCGATGCATGAAATTAAGGTAGCAGGTACCCAAACTCTCCGTAGGTTTCGATTACTTGCGCATTAATACGGGCAAAGAAAGCCGTCTCTGTGCTCGCAACGAGAAGAGCGTCGGTTCTCACATCATCTGTAATCACCTTTTGCCCACTCCTCCACCGAAAGGGAGGCCTGCCAGCCAGCCGTCCAACATTTGAGCTCAGAAATTTCTAAGCATGCCTGTGTCTTAGTTTCAAGGTAATATGTGTCCAACTGAGCAAACTACAAAGAGCACATTGAGCAGGGGACTTTAAGGAATTAGGGAGGCTTTCTTGCAGAAACATGGATCATTAACGGTGTAATCTAAGGAAACAGCACTCTGCTCACCACAGCACCGGCCTTTGTCTAAGGTGGAGGGGGCGTCCAGCGTCCCGGGGGCCCGTGTGAGGCCCCCAAACTGACTTCAGTTCAAGAACGGCATGTTTGGCCAACCCACCACAGGTGTCGAATGTAAAAGGAGACTATTCCATTTTTAGTTGGGGCAAAATTATCAGATTTTCTCACAATAAAAAAAAATGTTGGCAATAAAACAATCACTGGTCTTTGAATGACCACGCTCTTTGCATTCTCTTGCAAGCAAGCACCACATCCATTCATTTTTACTCAAAAGCTGAGTTTGATGCATCCAAATCTGCTTCTAATTAATGTATTTAACATGGATTAAAACAGCAAGAGTTTTCAAATAAACTGCATATTGATTTTATGGCTCAGAAATGACTAAAGGTTATAGTTTTTCCAGTTGATACCTAGACAATTTGCAAAACAACTTTTTTCGTAGCAATAATAATATGCACACCCCTTCCCAACAACAAATCTGACTACTTTATTTGTTTAACTAAAAAAAATCACATGCTTAGTTTATTGTTGAGTTGATAAGAATATTTTTTGGCCTTCAAGTCGTTTTGAGTCGACGATTTTGGCCCGTGTGTCAAAATGTTTGGACAACCCTGGTCTAAAGCATATCCAGCACCAAGGTGTCAAGCCCACATTGAAAACCATGCATCTATGTGTATATGAAATGTGTAGCGATTACCTTAAATTCACTAGGCACTATGAGCTTCGGAGTGTCCACACCGACCAAGGCGTCAATGCCACAGAAGAGAAGAATGGTCAAGATGATGGCAAAGTCACTGATGAGCTTCCTCACCTGGACAGGGGACATCACTGAAGGTTAGAGAGTTTATTTTAAGGGGAAAAAAATAGCTGAAAATGTTCCACCTATTACTAATCAAAGATAACTCTAAACCACTGGGTTTTGGTCTCGATTTAAAAAAAGAACTAGGTGTTTTGGCATCTTTGCAGTTTTCTGAAAGTTTGTTGTGGATTTGTGGTGCATAAAAGCTGAATGCTGCTTCTCCATGTTTGCTTCTGGGGATGCAGCGTAGACAAAAGACAAACACACGGATAAGTTTCTAGATCTTGCTTGGACTTTCGTCCTTTGATCCTAGAAATGTTCTTCAGGTGATAGAAGGCCGACTTTGTAACTGTCTTTATGCGTCTCTGAAGGTTCAGAGACACCCCGATTTTGGGCCTGGTGTTGTACAATCAAAAATGTCAGAAGCACAGCTTCCAGTGGTATAGCACCCCCTAGAGTCGATAGTCTGCAGAGCCTTTAGCTGCCAATACAGCTGAAATTCTTCTGTATCTCTACCAGTTTGCAGAATTACAGACCGAAAGCTTTGCCCGTTCTTTAGCTCAGTCAAAGATGAGCTATTGTTCATCACTCACTGTTGTGGGGAAGAATCTACTCGTCTTGAACTTCTTCAGAGCCATGGAGCAGGTGTAGGTCCCAAGGAACAGGATGAAGGACATCAGGGTAATGTCAGGTACATAGTCACAGGCCTTTCCGACCAGCAGCCCTCCGAACTCCTTACACTGATGCTGGGTCAGGGACGCCCAGGTGGCGTTCTCCTGCTGGAGAGGCCGGGAGTAAACAAAGAGTTGGGTGAGAAAAAGTTTGAAAAACCGATCCCTGAATCCAGGCTGTTAACACCGTTCAATTTTGTGTTTTTAGAGGACAAGGACACCACATACCAGATCGGTACGGTTTGTCCAGGCAGAAGTATCAAGGAGTGTTGATGAATTACCTAGAAGGAAAAAAAAAAGAAAAAAAAGAAAAAAGGAACAATGATATCTAATCAGTGAAGCGGGAATGCTTTTGATGTCGGCTGAATCGCTCTTTGTCAGTTTAAATCTGTTGTAGAGGATGGGAAAGTCAGCAGGGGTGTCATTTGTTATTTCCAACGCAGACGTGTAAATAACACACAAGTGCCGACACCATGACAAATTCAGCAACATCAATCAGCACCACGGTGACCGGGTTTGGACTGTCAAGCTGCGGGATACGCACCCGCTACGCAGCGGCAGTCGTACTGAGTGATGAGGTTGTGATCAAACTCCGAGTTGATGGGGTTGTGGTGGGCCAGCTTTATCATCTTCTTGAATGCGTCATAGATGAAGATGAAGCTGATAAGCGCAGAGAAGCCTTCCTCTGTGAAGCGTGTGAAGTACTGCACCAGGAAGCTTGCATCGGTGGCAACCAGCACCAAGCAGAACAAACCAGACCACAGGCCGATCCACAGCCGAAACTCGAGGTAGTCGAAACCATTGTCTCTGAGTGCGGATGAGGGGGGGGGAGACAAAAAACAAAGTAGTTTCAGTGAAAGTGGCAACTTAAAGAGACCGCTACGCCTCTGAGAATTCAGATTTTTAACACAAACTCAGTAAACTAAAGCTCTTGTGATACAACATTCTTTTTAAGCAAACTCCACGCAGCATTAGCTGCAGCAGACAAGCTAATGTTAGCTGACTAACAAGCTAGTGTTAGCTTCTTGGGCTTGGGTTACAACTTTAGAAGTTTTGAAATAATCTCCAACCTTCCTCAATGTCCTGCTTTTGACAGACGCAATTTTATTAATAAGATCTATTCTATTACTAAGATCTATTCTATTAATAACATCTATTCTATTAATAACATCTATTTCCAAGTCAAAGATTTTAGATGCACCTGTTGTAGCTGATGTCATATTATTTAAGCAGCAGTAGAAATAACTGCTACTTTTCTGTTTTAAATAAAAGTAATTAACATTTTTGCTAACTATATTTGTGTAAATACCTTCATGGTTAAGTACCATGTTATTATGATAATGTCGTGCCAGGCCCATGACAGCTCTTCGATGGAGAAAGCAAAACCCTAAATTAAAGGGCTCCACATGCAACTGCACCACACGCTTTTATCTATTTAGCATCTGTGGCGCAGGGCAAGAAACGCTTGTGTGCAGCCTAGCAGCTGCTACCAACGCTGGAACCGCTTGCAGGGCACAGACACCCACAACATTCTCCACTCACAGCACAAAAATAAATGAGAGTGAATTATTGATAACGGAACAGAGTCAGCATGTTGTCTGGTAATGCTAGAAGACCGACTGAGGGGCTTAAAGCAGAGCCAAGAGAGACACGTCGGCATTGCACAGCCTTTGGTGATTGTGAAATGATTCTGTACGTACAATTTTTTATCATCGCGTGAGGAAAGATCACTCATCGTAATAACGCTGCTGAGTTCAGCGTTATTACAGGAACCAGTGTTTATTTATGTTTTTTTGTTGTTTTTTTGCAGTGTGCCCAACATCGTGTTCTAAATAAGAAGGTTTAACGCTGTTCTTGTCTAATCAATCAGAACAGGAAGCTAACAGTCAAACCGTTCTGCAAACAATCTATAAGTGCCAAGAGATTTACAGCAGGAACTATCGGCCCACTTGCAGCAATCTAAAAAAAAAAAAAAAAGAAAGAAACATCCGTGCTCTACGTGTTGATAGTTTCATATACCATAGAGCTGCTGCTCTGGATTCTCAATGCAATTTCCCTCTTGTCTTTATTCCTAACATCATGTTTGCATGATGACTATCCAGTTAAAGGAGAAATCCTGTGACTGACTAGGGTTCACTGGGAGGTACTCACTTGCTGAAATTGAAGAGAAGTCTTTCGAACACAAGCACCGGGCCTGTACTACTGAGGATAGTCAGGGGCTGACCTGCTAGCAGGCAGAACACTGCTCCTGACAGCGCCGTACCGAGGAAACTTTCCAACACTCCCTGCGGCGCACATCAAAAACAAGTTAAGGTTGTTTTCACCGAGGTGACAGAGAGAAGAATTGAAGCAAATTATGACTATAAATGTACCAGAAACACATTTTATCACAAGTATTGTACAGCTTTACCGTCACAAGTCGACGCTAAATTTGTTCTTATGCAGATGACACTTTAGTTTTTCTTGGAGATAGCATAAATTGGGGTGGGCCCATTAAATGTTTATTCGTTTACAACATAATGTTGAGAAGAACAATGAACAGCAGTCATTGCTCTGAAGCAATGACTAAGAAAGGCTATCCCAGGGCAGGGATTCCCTCTTTACCCACATTATAAAACAGGATTGCGTTAGAGTGATGAAGTCCAGGATTGAAGGTGGGGGGTTCATTTAACACCCATGCTGTGGCTACAATGGCTGAGTAATCTGGATCTGTGGTTATTTACAGCTCTGGCAAATCCCCCGCACACGGCCGATGCTCTCTGCATGTGTCCGTCACAGCAGAGGCCAACGCAAGTACGGCTCCCGCCAGACAGGCCGTCACCTAACAGGTGCATGTGGATGACAGCGGCCGACCCTGCGTGGTATTATAGATAAGTTAGAAATTCCTGAAAGGAATCCGCAGTTTGGTTCAGCAAATGGATTTACTTTGAGCTTCTAAGCCTTAAATTAGCATGGCTTAGCAGCTGAAGAGACAAAATTGGTTTAACATGAGCAGCGATGACGGAACGATGAGCTCAGCTGACGGCCGATGCCAAGTCAGCGTCCATTGACTCTGCGTCAAAACTTGGGATTGTTTAAATGACTTAAAGTTAACAGGTAACATCCGGCCACCCAGGTACTGCACTTTATACATCGTCCTCATGTCCTCCCCGCTTCCTTAATCAAACGAAGGCATTTTGACGAGTAAGGCTACCTGCATGTTGTCTGTAGCGTCTCCGAGCAAGCCTCCGAACGTGATTGCGTTGGTGACCGTGCCCAGATAGATGAACAGGATGGCAGACAGAGACTGAATGTGGAGGGCGTCGTAAAAGTCGCTGGCGAAAAACGGCAGCTTTCGCTTCACGTCCAGGATAAGACCGCCGCAAAACCTTAAAAAGACAGAGAGAGCCGTTGGAGTTTTTCAGCTTCACATGACAGCTCAGTTTGATCAAAGACATTGGAGGTCCACAAGGTGTGATAAAGATTGGCCTGGATACGTTTCTGTCACCGTTTCATAAGACGGGGAATGTTCTGAACAAAAGAAACACAATAAGGTTATTCAGCTGTGAAGTGCGTCCATTGTTCTGTAGTTCCTTGTTCCTGACTGAAAAGTTTACTGGAGAACAAAGGCTGAAAGACTTTCATTTGACACCAGACATGTGTCATCCTGACAGCAATTGGAGACAATCAGGATTATAAAAAATGATGCTAATACACTCATCTGTCAAAAACTTTCCACAAGAAAATTCAAAAACATACCATGCTTCTTTTTTTTTTAAGGTATCAGCTCCTGTCGTTCTCATTTGAACTTGTCTCGCCACTTATAATGATTTCACAATGGTATGAAAAATTCGAATTACTTTTTTGTGCACTGCAGCTCCTCTCCCACTTGGTGCCCTCCTCCTCCTCCTCCGCCTCCGTGTCCCGTATCGTGGGGGGTGTCCCCGTTCATCTGAGGAGCCTCTCCTCCGGCGTACATGTTCTTTCTTTAAAAGCACACAAAAAAAATTTATTGTCTTCAGATTAAAGAAGAAAAAAAAAGAGCCTACGATTCAATAAATGTTTAGCGTAAAGATGCGTAGCAAAAATAAATTTGTCTTTTGTTGTGTGGCAAAGTCTCACAACCAGCACTTAGAAAAACACGACCAGCACTTATTAAAGAAACTCTCTTCTTCACTTCTGGCAGACATATTTTTTTTACTTTGAAGCAGTGATCCATTTTGTGGAAACACAACAGATTTTATGAATATTACTCAAGATCCTAAGGCATTCACGTCAAAATAGATTGCTTCACTTTTGATATTTAATTAAATGTTCTGCTCTCAGAGGATCACACGCCCACATGGTCTTATTTGGTTTTGTTTGATGTGAGGCCTCTGACGGGAACGTATGCATTACGCAACATGTCAAACAGCTGAGTCGGTTTGTTTACTTTAAAGGCTTCGTCCAAATGTTTCCATTCGCTAATGTAAAATCTGAAAATACAAAGTTAGGCGTCCAAAACTAAAACAAAAGGTGTCACGTGGCGGCTAATCAAATGAATGGCAGCTTCTTTAATTTGGAATATAATGCGGATCAGATCAGACCTTTTGTCTGAGGAGGGAAGGGACTTGGGCGGCTCGATTCTGATGTCGGGGTCCCACTCGCCAGGAGGAAGGACGATCACTTCGTCCAGGAACTCATCGATTCCAGCCAGCAGGTCCTTCCTGCCTTTCGCTTTGTAGGCGATGTCGTGAAACACCTTCGATTGAAACAAAAACCGACCGATTACCATTTAAGAAATGAACGTGTGCTTTTCTTTTTTCTTTTTGCAATCCAGTGCCTGGAAACAGAAACAAACAGAAAAAATAAATAAACAAATAAAATCTGCAACTTCAACAACTGAGTGGAAAAAAAGTATTTCCTAATAGCTTTGTTTTCCCTGAGCGAAGGGTACAGCACGTCACTGACTGTAATTTATGGCACCTAAAAATCACCGCTATGCAGATGTTTCCCAATGCGCACACACATACGGGTTTACGCCACCACCGAGCCTCCCAGTGTGTATAGTACTACCACTAAACAACACGTCAGGCAGCGAGTCAAAAATACTTCAAACGTCTGATAAACCTGCGACACCACCGTTCTGGTGGGAGCTGAGGGGGTAAAGTTTAACTTGAGGAAACCCAGAGCAAACTCTTCCTAAAACTACTATATCAACAGAGAGCATGTGAACGGGAGAGCTGAGGCCTGTGGGAAAAATGCAGGCCACGTGCTCCCAGTATTAAAAATGCTGAAGGCGTCGATCTTTCTGACAAATACTGTGGCAGGTGTACGAAAGACACCAAGCAGGAAGATTGAAGAAATGCTTTATTCCAATCGTTTTGCTTATAATTTCAGCTAGAAGTTGGCCGACAGCAGGACTGTTTCCTTATTGGTAGAAAACGAGCTACGTGGCCAATTTTATAAAATCACAACCTGTTTGTTCCTTTGCACTGCTTGCCAGGGTGCCAGATAGTCTAACCGCATCATTTTACTGATCCAACAAATCTGAGTTTTCCAAAACAAACCTAGTGTTCGGCCTTTACAATAACGTTAACGGGGCAGAGAGATGCTTTACTGGCTGCTGTGGCTTTCTGCCTTTCCGTGGTTCGTCACGTGCTCCATGTTCAGAAGGTTGCACAGAAAGCAGCGGAAACTCTGGTCGTTAAAGTTTAAGACGTACGAAGCGAAAATAAGGTAAACTTTACGAAGCAAGAAACCAACTTTTTAAACCGTTTTCCACAAACGATCACCTGGAACTGCTTTAAAATACGAGACGACAATCAAAGCGTGACACTATAAAACAACCGTTAGCCTAGCATGGAAACATCTGCGGCAGGAGCAAGAGGGGAATTTATTAATGACAGCAGACTGTACAGATTATGAACATTATTGGTGAATCAGTTAAATTTGACACCAGGAGAAAACTAATACAAACCAGGTGGTGAAATGGAGCATGTAGCAAACACTGATTTTTATTTTACCTTTGGCGTATTACTAAACTGGGTCTTAGTATTTACCAAATGTCTATTCTTAAATGACTAAATTAGTATTGGCAGACAAGAAATATCTTGATCTGGACATCTCTTCCATAGTTTTTAAGAAAAAACATATTCTCAATATCGACTTACCTCATCGGACATCAGGGTAGCGATTGCTCTTCCGATCTCTCGGTAAGACTTGGACTTTCCTTTAGGTCCCAACAGTACAAACATAAATCTAGGTACGACATGAAAGTATTCATTTAGTTTTGTTTTGTTTAATTCATGTTTCCGTGCGACATCAGTAGGTCACGGGAGGATTTTTACAGCAGAGTACCTCGTGGGCACGGGGACTTCAGTAAGCGCTCCCAGCATAACGGCCTGCTGCAGACGGACAAAAGCAACAAACGGGGTTTCCAGGAAGTCCACCTCTCCGACCAGCACGTTTGATGCCTCGGCATCGCGGGGCAACTTTTTCATGAACTTATTCTTCAGCTGTGGAACAAATCAGAGAGAGAGAAGACAGAGTGAATGTGTGAGGCAGTGGAATAACATAGAATACCCTCAGGATCAATACTTAGCTTGCAAGATGGTTTATGAAGCACATAGGATTCATCCAATATCCATTTTAAGATTATGAAAAC